CCATCCCGCACTGAATGCCAGGCTCCACCAGGCCACTGTAGCCCCAGGGGCTGCTGGGAACTCACCAACAAGGTTCCGGGGCACCTGCACCGAGTCCTCGGAGAATTCCAGGTAGCTGCGGGCCTGCTTACAGGCTTCGGGTGTCTGCGGGGGGAGGCAGCGGTGGGCATCGGGGCTCCCATTAACCCCGCTGAAACCACCCCCACTGACAGCAAGGACAGAACCCAGGCATACAGCCAACATATCCCATTCCCTTCCCAAAGCTGAGGAGAGAACCCAGGTGTCTGGGATGCCTTGCTCTGCCCCGCTGTCCCTACTCCCACTTCAGAGCTGGGAGAGAACCCAGGTGTCTGAGGGCCCTTCCCTTCCCACCCGGAAGGAGGAAGTCGGGGGCCACACAGAAGGGAACCCCGGCATCTGGATGCCCCCCCACACCTCGCCGTAGATGCGGAAGGTGCATGTGTCCTCATCCAGCTCAATGGCGGTGACGCCAGGCACGCGCCGCGCCTGCTGGATGTTGGCGCCATGCGTGCCGATAGCCAGGCCCATCAGGTCCTCACGCACCCGGAACTCCTCCTGGAAGGCCGAGGCCAGCTGCTTACTGGTCTGCGCGGGAGCGGGGACAGGGACGGGGGTGGGGGTGGACACGGACGGATGGATGGACGGACGGACAACTGGGAGTCAGTGGGGGCAACTAAGCCTCTACCCCAGCCCCGTGTGACCCCCTCGCCCGCCAATCACGTGACCCTAAGGGAGGGAGGGGATTGGGATCCAATGGGTCCTGGAGGACCTTGTGGTGCCATAGCCTGCCGTCCACCCAGGGATGCCACCTGCTCAGCTGGGCCCTGGGGACACTGCCCGCCCCCCACTCTAGGTATCACAAGGGGGGGGAATTATACCCCCTCTCTATTAAGGCGCGCTGCCCATAGTTGGGCCCCTTCCCAGCCCCGTGTAACCCCCCCAACCCCATACCAGGCCTGGGACACCTCTTTGGGGGTCTGCCCCTCCACCAGGCCCTCCCCAGCCCCCAGGGGTGTCCCAGGCCCAGACACCACCCACTTGGGTTGCCCTGGGCCTTGACGCCTGGGTCCAGCCCTCCACCCTCTCCCCAACCCTCAGGGGTACCCCAGGCCCGGACACCTGGGTCCATCCTGTCACACCCCCTCCCCAGCCCTCCACCCCCTCCCTAACCCTCACGGGTGCCCTGGGCCCAGATGCTTAGGTTCGCCCTCACCTCCAGGTGCTTGTTGGCCTCCTCATTGCGGGACATGAGCAGGAGCTTGGTGCGGATGCTGCGCAGGTGCATGTCGCCCAGCAGTGAGGCTCGTTTCACTGTCGACTCCGTCGTGGACTGGGGGAGGTAGCGGGGAATAAACCAGCTGCCCCCGAGCCAGCCGCAGCCAAGACACCCTCCCCCACCCCCCGGGGCAGACCCAGGGGTGGGGGGGCTGGGTGGAGCTCACAAGAAAGTTTGCAACAGGGAGGCAATGGGGTAGATGCCATGAGGAATCGTGGGCTCTCCATCCCAAACAGGCTTCTACAACCAAGGGCTGGGGGTGATATAGGTGGAGCTAGGCCTAGGGGAGTTGTGGGCTCTCCGTCTCTGAAGGGCTTGGACAACCAAGGGCTGGGAGTAATGTAAGTGTAGATAGGCCTAGAGGACTTGTGTACTTTCCATAAGCAGAGGGGTTTAGCTGGACAGCCCCTGATTGGGTGATCTAGGCCAGGGGGTGCTCAAGCTTGGGGCAGGGCCAGATTGAGCCCCATGTGCCAGGACCGTGCCCTCTCTGCCCTAAGCCAACAACAGAGCAGCTTCCTGTTGCCCCCCCCTTCCAAGATCCTAGATCCTCCCTTTCTGTCTCAAGGTGGGGAAAGAGAGACACAGAAGAACCTCAGGCCCATCTCTGTGGGAACCCCTGCCCGGATTCACAGTGAAGCGTACCAGGATGTAGAGCTCGCTGCTGGCCACGTGCAGAAAGATGCAGTTGGCGCCCACTGCCTTCTTGAACTCCTTGTGCACATTGTCGTTTGAGCACCTAGGGGCGGAGAGCCCAAGGGCTTAGGCGCTAGGTAGCAAGAGCCCTAGCTGAAGGCACCACACCCAAAACATTTAGGTCCCTAGCTGGGGAACCCATGCTGGAGTGATTCAGACACTGGGCACAAGTGGATCTAGCCAGGGATGCTGCATCCCAGGGGTTTAGACACTTGGTACTGAGACCCCACACACACACCCAAGAGGTTTAGGCCCCTGGATGGGGTGAATCTAGCTGGGGAACCCACACCAGAGTCATTTAGAAACCCAGCAGGGGTGGATCTGGCCAGGGATGCTGAGCCCCAGGGGGTTTAGACACTTGGTAGTGAGACCCCTAGCTAAAGGTGCCATGCACAAGAGGTTTAGACCCCTGGCCTGGGTGGAACTAGTTAGGGAATCTGCACCTGAGTGATTAGACAACCAGAAGGGGTGGATCTAGCCAGGGATGCCACACCCTAGGAGGTTTACACACTTGGTAGTGAGACCCCTAGCCAGAGGAGCTATGCCCGAGAAGTTCAAGCACCTAGGGGTAGAAAGCCCAAGGGATTTATGCACTGGGTAGTCACACCCCCTAGCCAGAGGTGCTGCAACCAAAATGTTTAGGTCTCTAACCTGGGTGGACCTAGCTGAAGAACCCACACCTGAGTGATTCAGGCACCCAGCGGAAGTGGATCTAGCCAGGGATGCTGCATCCAAGGGGGTTTAGACACTTGGTAATGAGACCCCCTACCTGAAGACATCACACCCGAGATTAGCACCCCCGGACATCGTGAACCTAACTGGGGAACCCGCACCAGAGTGATTCAGACACCCAGCAGGAGTGGATCTAGCCAGGGATACCACACCCCAGGAGGTTTAGACACTTGGTAGCAAGAACTCTAACTGGAGACGCCACACCCAAGAGGTTCAGGCCCCTGGTCAGGGTGGACCTAGCCAGGAGAAATGCAATCATAGCTTCAGCACAAGATCCATGGTGTTCTAGGGGGCTGAAGAAACACCCCCTTCCCCACCCCATGGAAACCAGCAAAGTAGAGGCCTAGGAGAACTAAACATCCTCCACTTTACCTTATATGCATAGAAGGAATGAGACACTGCTTCCTTGTTTACCGTAAGTTCCTATATATAAAGACACACACCTCCCGGCCCCCTGGGTTCTGCCACCAGCACTCACGCCTCCTTGAGGTCATCCGGGACGGCGATGGTGTGCTTGAAGAAGGTGCCCTTGTTGGCCACTTTGTTGGGGTTGACAGGCCGAAGCCGCTCCAATGTGACAATCTCATTGTAGGTGGCGTCGCAGGCAGCATATTCGATTACATAGAACTTGGGGGGGAGGGAGGTAAAAATCAGGGCTTGGGTCGGAGAGGGGGTCCATCCAGGGGTGAGGGATCCCAGCGTGTGAGGGAGTGTCCAAGCACTCAATGTTTTGCATTTCAGGGGCACCTTCCACCTCTTCCCAACTGGGGTGGGACCAGGGGCAAAATGGGAAGAACTGGTTTTGATGCGGCATGGAAAGACGCCCCAGTACATATCAAAGCCCCCAGGATTGTAACAACCCCCTAGTGAGGCAATGCTAAGGACCCTGGGAAGCCAGCACATCCCCACCCCCATAAACTTACGTCCCCTTTCATCATGCGGACCCTGGCCAGCCACCAGCCGCACGGCTCATGCTCATTGGCTCGGGAGTAGACCTGCGGAGAGGACACAAAGCGGGGGTATAAGCATGGGAGGCAGTGTGGGCCTGGCCAGGAGTGAAAGATGCGGCTCCTACCTCCACTTCGTCCCCTTCCGTGATCTCCTTGCTATAGTCAGTGGGCGGGGGCAGGCGCACGTCACTGAAGGGAATCTGCCTCTCGGGCTGCCAGCTGCCAGGAGATGCCAATATGGTGAAGGAGGGAAGGGAAACTCAGGGCATTCCCACCCCCATCCCCTCCCACCAGCAACAGTTTCTAATATACAACACCCCCCTGCTTTGGAACACGGCTGCCAGTATATGAGAAAATATGGGACTATTACTAGCAGCTGTGTTCCACCCCAGGAAGGAGAGGGGGTGTTATAATAATATTACCATATTTTCTCATATACAATACCCTCCTCTCCTTGCCAGGGTGGAACACGGCTAGCAGTAATAATATTACCACATTTTTTCATATCCCCTCCCCTCCCCTTGCTGGGGTGGAATACAGCTGCTAGTAACAATAGTACCATATTTTGTCATATACAACACTCCCTCATCTTGCTAGGGTGGAACAAAATAATATTCCCATATTCTTCTCTCGCATATAATGCCCCCCACCCGCTGAAAATCAGAGTGAGCATTAGAGGCAGGAAATACGGTAAGAGCAGCTCATATACCCTCCCCTCCCCTTGCTGGGGTGGAATACAGCTGCTAGTAACAATAGTACCATATTTTGTCATATACAACACTCCCTCATCTTGCTAGGGTGGAACAAAATAATATTCCCATATTCTTCTCTCGCATATAATGCCCCCCACCCGCTGAAAATCAGAGTGAGCATTAGAGGCAGGAAATACGGTAAGAGCAGGTTCTAAATCAGCAGCAACATCCAGACTCCCAAGCAGGCTCTAGCTGCTGCTCCTCCAAAACAAGGCATGTGTCACGTTCTGGTAATAGGGTACTAGTGAGATGCGCACCCTGCTCTTACCACCTAGCATCATTTACCTGGCATCAAAATGCAGCTCCCTCTGGGGTGGGGCCTGGCTGCTGCTAATGCCAGGGTCATTCACCCACCCCCAAGATGTGGCTGCCTCTGGGGTGGAACATGGCTACTGGGGATAACATTACCATATTTTCTCACCTCCAACATACACTTCCCCCAGTAAAAGCTAGCTGCTGGAAATCAAGAGCATACCTTATATCTAACAAATTGGGGACAAGCAGCTTCTTCTGCTATTATCCAGCACCAAGGTGTAGCTGCCTCTGTAGCCCAGGAGAAGAAAGAAGTGGGGCTAGGGAGGGGAAAAGAGGGTCCTGTAGGAGTCAGTCACTGAGATGCGGCTGACTCTGGGGAGAGATGCAGCCAGCGTTAATACCTAGACCCATCAAGATGCGGCTGACTCAGAAGTAAGACACGGCCACTGTTAATACCTAGATCCTTCACCAAGAGGTGGCTGACTCAGGGGTAGGACATGGCCACTATTAATACCCAGACCCCCCCACCTCACTGAAGGAATTTGAGGGAGTGGGACACGAATTAACACCCTCCCCACCCCAAACATAGACAGTGGATCCTGCCCAGGAACCTTAAATGCCTTCTGATTGCTTGGAGCCCCCTGCCCCCCAGCCTCAGCTGTCACCCCAGAGTCAGCTGCATCTGGGAGCAGGGTAGGCCACTCAGGTTTCAGCTGCCCCCTGCCCTTCAAACACTGGAGCCACAGCCTCCAAATCCAACAGCTGCTTCACCCCTGGCCATCTGCATTTCAGCTCCTGCATCATCACCCCCTGCCAGCAGCCCAGAGACCTACAAGCCATCAAGGGAGCAGCCATTCCACCCCAGAGTCAGACACATCTTGGCCACGAGCAAGTGATCCTGGCAGTGGCAGCTGCTCCGGCCCCTATGCAACTGGTGAATGATCCTTCAGCACACAGCAGGTGTTCCACCCCAGAGCCAGTTGTGCCCACAGCCAGACCCTGGGGGTGGTCAATTCGTCCAGGGGCATCCAGCAATCGTTCCACCCCAGAGCCAGCTGCACTCAGGGCCAGTGACAGTTGTTATGTGCTCCTGGGGTTCAGAAGGGGCATTCCTGGATTCCGGAGCAATCTGTGACCTTGAGACTTAGTCAGTTTCGCATGTGCCATCAAGGGGACACCAGGGGCTAATCTGGGCTCCCCAGCAGCCTGCAAGCTATGCGGGGCTCCTCTGCCCTCCAGGGCAGGCACTTTATTTAACTCCAGGAGGCAGAGGGGTTTCTTTCTTTCTTTTTTTTTTCCAGGCCCATCTCTGTGGCTCTGAGCGGCGGCTGCTTGGGAAATGCAGAGACCAAGCTGGAACGGCTCGGACAGGCGCCTCCAAAGCAAGGCTGGCAGTCAGAGGACTGGTTCAGGCTCTCCTCATGCAAGATACCGTCCCTTGAAGTCCTCCGCTGCCAGGCAGGGAATGCAGCATCCCAGCCCCGCCACCACCAAGCAGAGATTAGGCTTGGCGTCCTTCAGTAGACAGTGGAAGAGCCCAGATGCCTGGGGTCCATCCACACTGGGATCCGGCCTCTCAGTTGGAGTAGAGGGGGCTGGGAGCTCGTGTCATGGCAGGCCAAAGCCACTGTGGAGGGCCAATGGGGAGCTTCTGATCTGGCTCCTGTAACCAGACCCGGCTTGAAGTATTCACAGAAATCCTAGAGAAGCGGGGTGGGAAGGGACCCCCAGAGGGGTCACAGAGTCCACCCCACTACCCAAGGCAGGATCCAGCAAGCCCATCACTTAATCTTGCAGTAAAACAACCAGCAACCCTGATACCACACTGGACATCACCTCCTAAGTGGCCCCAGGAAAGCTGGGGGATGATGGCAGCTGACATCCTGCTGCTGTTGAAGCATCACAACTGCTGCTGCTGTGGAAGAATCTTCTCTACTTTTTACCCATTTCACACATTACATATCTCATGCAATTTACTAATGAATTACGCAATAATTTTAGCCCAGTCATGTGTAAAGTATCACTGGCCACACATTACATATATTGCGCATTTGACTGGTGATCTGCATAATAAATATGGCTTGGTCATGCATTACATATATTGCATGCTGGGGGAAATCACACAATAAATTTAGCTCAGTCATACATTACATATAGTGCACATCTGACTAGTGAATTGCACAATAAATTTAGCCTGGCCACACATTACATATATTGTGCATTCAACTGGCAAATCACGCTGTAAATTTAGCTCAGTCACACATTACATATATTGCACATCTGACTGGTGCACTGCGCAATAAATTTAGCCTGACCACATACACAAAATAAGACCAGCCACACATTACATATAGTGGCATTTGACTGGCAAACCGCACAATAAATTTAGCATGGTCACACACGACATATATTGAGCAATATGACTAGTGAACTGCTCAATACATTTAGTCTGGCCATACATGCAAAGACCAGCCACACATTACATATAATGCACAACCCACTGGTGAATCAAGCAATACATTTAAACTCGGCCACCTGTGCAAAGTCAATATCACATCACTGACTGGTTCGTCGCGCAATAAATGTAGACCCAGCCATACACGAGAAGTCATTCTCACACCATCAAAACGCCCACCTGGCTCTAAAGAGAGCCAAGTTGTTACCAAGTCTATGCTTGAGAACAGGCAACAATTTTATGGCTGATTTCTATTCAGGTTGAACTGCACCGCACGGAAGGGTTGGGTGGGACATCAGGAGGTCATCGGGTCCAACACTTTGCTCCAAGCAGGAGCAAATCCCACCTACATCATCCCAGCTAATGCTTGGTTGAGCTGGGTCTTCAAAGCCTCCAAGGATGGAGACCCCACCACCTCTCTGGGGAGCCTGTTCCAATGCTTTACTACCCTTCTCAAAAGAAAGCTCCTCCTAATATCTAGCCTCAAAATTTCCCTGCTGCAGCCTGAGCCCATTGCTCCTTGTTCTGTCACCTGCCACCGCTGATAACAGTCCAGCTCCATCCTCTTTGCAACCACCCTAATGGCTGCTATTCAATCCCCCTTCATTCTTCTCTCCTGCATACTCAACGAGTCCATTTCTCCTCACCAGTCCTGCGCCCCAGTCCCCCAAACATTTTTGTTACTCTCCCCAACGTGGCCACCTCCTTTCTGCAGGGGGAGCCTTTGTTCTGCCTTTCCAAGCCAAGGCGCGTGATCTATTTGGGGGCGTGTTGTATATGAGAATATACAGTAGCTGCTTCAACACTGATCCCTAGCAAAGGAATGAGTGAAAGCATTTTTGGAAGGGGGGGCAGGGGGGCATCTGGAATGTAACAAGTTTGATAACCATTAGGTGAGATACACAGGCACCCACCCCCTACCTCCAAAAGCTTGCAGCACAGGGGGCCAAACCTATCCCACCACTCTGGCCACAACAGAAGATCCCCGCGCTGCCCAGCCGGTACCTACTTGTTCTCAAAGGCTATGGTGACGGAGTCTTCATGGACATCTTTAACGTAGCCCTGCAAGGGAGGAGAAAAGCAGACAGCGTGAGGCTGAGCCTGTCTTCCCCCAGAAGGGACGTGGGGTCCGGGGCACAAGATGTCTGGCGGACAAGCTGCGAGGGAATGCCCTGAAGCAGATGCTGGTGCGTGGAGGATGGTCATCTTAGGGGTCAGGCCTCTCACTGCAGAGACAGCTCCTCCGGTGCAGTTGGGGAATAAGTATGAGGCCCTGGCTGCACTGGAGGAGTGTGTAGTGGGGGAAAGTGCACTGGAGGGGCCTGCTGCCATTACCGAGCGAGCTGAGGGCTGGCCAGGTAAGCAGAAGAAGAAACACTGCATCATCATTGTGGGTGAGTCCCTGCTGAGAGGAACAGAGGGACCTATCTGTCATCTGGATCCCATAGCGTGTGAGATCTGCTGACTGCCTGGAGCCAGGATCAGGGACCTCATGGTGAGAATTCCTGACCTCATCCAGCCCTCTGACAACTATCCCATGGTGGGAACAAATGATGTGGCCAGT